CCTCAAGAAAGGTATAAATTCCCAATTTAGAAATTGACAATGTCGCTATTAGGAAGCAAACATGAAACTATCTTAAGCCTATCTACGTGTCAATTGTAATTGGAGAAAAGCAACAGAGGGGGATGATGCCATAACTGATAAATGAAACACATAGGTACCATACTTGAAACTTATCGGCAACACTCACAGACAAGCTATACATGGCTATTCAAGAAGTTTCAAGAGGGAGAGAGGGGGAGGAGCCGCCGCACAGTAGGTAGAGAGAGACGAGAGAGAGAGGGGAAGGAGGGAAAGGGGAGGAGGATGAAATGAAATTAGGGTTTGGGTGGTATAATATTTAATTACCTGAATTTTGATTAAAAAATTTTCACACTTGATTTTTGCACTTTGAAGTTTAAAGATCTGATCTATGTAAATTTCCCAAATATCAATGCTAAAACCATTAAAATCGGTTGCGGGTCAATTGGTTTTGCGATTTGACCGACTAGTTGGTCGGTTTTTTATCCGAATTTTAACAATCTGAGTTTAAAGTATCAATTGAACCAATTTTTGTACCGGTCTACGTTTTTCAATTGGACCGGTTGGTCTTCGATTTCGAGAACATGTTTAGATAAGAGCTTATATTATAAAGACGTTTAGAGCAGTTGTGAGAATCCTAAAAGTGCAGTAAACATTAAATTGATTGTTTGCAAGCATAACTACAAAAGTTCTTTGTTATTAAATTAATACTTATTTATATAAAAAATAATTAATGTAAAAGATATAACAATAACTAATTTAAGTTTTTTAAAATATATTACTCTGTATATTATTAATTTTAAAAATTCAGTAAATGTAAATTACAACTTCATGTAAAAGATAAAATAGAGCTTTTTTAGAGAAGTTCAAAATTTAAATTTTTTTGTCGACGAAAAGTATCTGACTTTAGCCAAACAGTTATTATTTTTAACCAAAAAAAAAAAAAAACACTTTAAACATTCAGAATGTACTTTAAGACTTTGAAAAAGTCCTTCCAAACAACCTCTAAGCGATGGCTATGAATATTCCATCTAGTACATCCAAGAAATCAATAAATAAACTAATCTCTAAACATAGTGAAATAATTAATAAATCCCAAAAATGACATTGTCTAATCAATATAAATCATGTATTAATTCCAAACCCTAAAAATCATTTCCGTCCCCCTATCTCTCATCTCACTCTTTCTATCTTCACCCATCGCACACATGGATAGCGTTGGAGACATGGACGTTGCCAGAAACACCACAACAACAGCTCTCTCTCTCTCTCTCTCTCTCGATTTTCACATATGTGACAATTTCCCAATGTTTTCACAAAGGGGTTTTACAATATCAAAGGAATATAATTTGGCCAAAGGGAGTCGTCAGAGACCCAAATGTGAAATCTCTTTTCGACGCAACTCACCAACGCAACATTTGATGAACCTAATTTTGAGAGTATTATGTGTATTGCCAGATTCACAATGCTCTCCAATTCCATCTTTCTTTTCCTTTTATTGAGCTTATAATGAATTGTCACTGATCAATTTCGCAAGTTTGAGAGATTATTTTTCGTCTTTATTTGAGAGAAAATTTTAAATAGATACGTTCAATTAGTGCAACGACGTGTTTGGGGTTTTTTTTTTTCTTTTTTTTTTGTTGGGGGTGGTGGTGGTGTTTAGGTTACACTAGATTGAGTTTCTGTGAGCAAATCTCTTGAATATGTGACCTGTCAAATGCTGGGTCACGTGTCAAAGTGTATGTCACATATTAAAGGGATTTAGTGACAGATCACAGATTCAAGAGATTTGATTACTTGGATCAGGCACGGTCACATGTAACAGGGGTACATGTCAAAGTGCATACGTTACATGTCACGAATTCAAGAGATTTAGTCACAGACCTAAGAGTTTTGTTCACATACCATTGAATTAGGTCCTATGTCACATGTCAAGAGATTTGATAACAGACCATTGCCTCTGGTCACACTTCACAGATCCAGAGATTTGATGGCCACATGGCATTGGATATGTTGAAGTACATAGGTCACATGTCAAATTCAAGAGATATGGTCACATGCCATTGATTTATCTAATCTCAGTTATTCGAATTGGTCACATATTCAATTAACTAGATTTCAACGATGAAAATTCAAGTTATTTGCTTCGATACGTACTTTGTAAATTACACAGGGAGTCGTTTTTCAATTTTAAATTTTAAATTGTACTGGCACTGTTGAGTCGTGAATGAAGAAGATGATCAATTGTCGGCGATATTCATTCGCACGTTGATTGACGATCAATTCGCCGCTGAAGAAGCCGTCGACAGGTGGATGCCGACAAGTCGGGTGGAGGCGGTTGTTTGGTGGGAGGTGTGTATGTAGATTAATTTAATTTGATAATATTATTATTTAAAATCAAAACAGAAACGCGACTTTTACTTTTTTAAACTTAAATCTCTGGAAATTAATTTGGAGCATACTTAATATATGACTTACGATTTTTCCCCTTGTTACAATAACCAGGTTAAATGGGCCAATACTAATTCAGTGGGCCAAGTTCAAGTCGACATGGACCACCTCAAATGGACGGTTATGGATGTTATGATAACCAGGTTAAATCGGGCCAATACTAATCCGTTGGACCATGAGATTTTTACCTCTTCAGTTCGCAAATAAATGTAAATACCCATCAACTTGAACCACCTCATATGGACGGTTAAGAACCACATAGATAGCCTATTGGGAAACTATTTCATGTCCAGCCATTCGGGCCTGAAAAATTTTAGTGGTCTATTTTTCAATGGATCCTGGCCCTTCAACAGATCTATTTGTAATGGATCCTAGCAAAGGTCTGTAAATAGAAATATAGCACTCATGTTAGAATTTTCAATTGCGAGCAGTGTTTTTAATGGATGCCTAAAGCATTTTTTTGAAGGATCAAAGTCAAATTTTTAGTAGATTTGATAAAAGTTAATGAAATGCGTGTTTGAAAAATTGTGGATCCCATAAAATATTTGGTTAAAATTAATTATTGATTTTGATTTGAAATCTAAATTTTAATCCCTACCATACAAGGATTAAATGTTAATAAGTTAAATTTCGTTCCAATTGACCGTACCTTAACGAAGATCAATAACCCAATTGGAATGAACGTAGAACCAAAACAAATGTTCATACGATTTGACTCACAAAAGTACATTTCCTTTCTATTTTGCTAACTAGTGCTCCTAATCCAACCCAACGCAACCACAAGCTTGGTCGAAGTCTTTTATACTAAATAACGGTCCAAAATCTCTCATACCGAGTCACATATATTATGTCAATTCAATTACTTGTTTGTTTATGTGATATATAAACTAAGCTTTTATAAAGTGACTGAATATAAAATTATTTGAAACTAAGATAAATTTTAAGTGAATTTTGATAAGATAAACTTATAAGCTGTTTGGAATTATTTTTTTTAAGGCTATAAACTTATTTAACAACATTTTTATGCAGACATTCCATAAAATCCACTATTTTTCATCAACACATACCTACTAGAGATGGCGAAAGTCTTGGTCTCCAACCCGCATTGTTCCCCACCTCAAATACTCGAACCCACTTCGAATTTTTATTTTATTTTATAAATTTAAATTTAAATTATATTTAAAATAATTAAAATGATATTATAAAATAAATAAATAAATAATCGGGTTAATTTCACTAACGGTCACTGAAATTACATGTAAATTACAAAACGGTCACTGAAGTTTAAAACTTTTAGAAACGACCACTCAACTTTCACGCAGTTTTAGAAATGGTCACTGAAGTNCACTTTCAAAAATGGTCATTGATGTTAGTTTTTGGACTTTTTTCTTCTAATTGAATCCTAAAGCATCAAATCACGGTCACGTAATAGCTAGAGGACCTCAACTTCAAAATTCATTGTGAACAATTTTCTTCGCGTGTCTGAACAATTTTCTTTGCGTGAAGGATTTTAGGCCAAATTGAATCCAGAGGTTTCATTGTGAATAGACTCAATTGGGTGATTACCCATGGCCTTAGCACTGCCAATTGAAGATTTGATGGTAGAATTGAGGATTTGTAGCAGAAAAGATTCATCAAAGTCATGGGAACCAAACTTTTTGCAAATACCGCGAACTTCAGCCACAAATTGATCGACTTCATAGCAGAATTGACCTGGACCCATGCTTGGGCAAGGTGCGCCAGGTGGAGACGATTCTAACCTAAGTGGTCCGTGACCGGCATTCAACCGGACGACGCCGGAATCTACAGAAATGGAGTCCGTTATCGCGCAGCTCGCGAAAGGCAATATGTCTGGGTTTAATTCGGGCTAAACAATTGATGGTTGGGCTACATTGTTTCCAGGGTAGGGTCTTTCAGGGGTGGGTTATCGACCAGTGGTTGGCTCCGGCAAAGTTGGGGCCCGGAAGAAGGGATTCCGGTAGTTTGCAAAAAATTAGGCAACGAACTTTGAAATTCATTTCCGACCAGATTACTACGAGTTAGAGGAAGTTCTTTAGATGTAATTGAGGAAGAAGATGTGCTCTTTTCACTAGTAGCAATATCCTGTGATTTTGGAGGGTGTAGATTGTCGGAATTTGGATCCATATTATGCGTCCAAAAAGGGTGAAAATCACCCCTTAGAAAATTATTTACAATGAATTTTGAAGTTGAGGTCCTCCAACTTTTAAGTGACTGTGTTTTAGTGCTTTATGTTTCAATTAAAATATAAAAGTACTAAAATTAAATTCAGTGACCATTTCTAAAATAGCGTGAAAGTTGAGTGACTATTTTTGAAAGTTTTAAATTTCAGTGATCGTTTTGTAATTTTCATGTAATTTCAGTTACTGTTTGTGAAATTAATCCATAAATAATCAAATGAGACCATAAAGAGGAACTTTTTACTCTCTTCCTCTTCTTTCTAAAAAGTAAAAAAAAAAAAAGAGGAAATTGCCACTCCTTGTGAGTTGTCGGTGGGATCCACCGCAGAAGAATCCAAATAAAATGGGCTCCACCTCCCACACCTACACACGCGCCAATGACTCGGTCAAGAACGGCAGCCTTCGCACCAATTTTGAGGAAACAATTTGATAAACCGGGTTTTGTTTTGGATTCTACACCAATGTCAAATCCAGAGTTAATGAGCCCACTTAATCTAATAAAATATCAGAATACTAAAACGTGGATTTCAAACAAGCTCTCTGGGCCCACTTCACTTTTATTGCTGGCGGCCAAATTACTAATTTCTTGATTATTTTATATTTTAACTTATTTTTAGATTAAACGCGAAAACTTCAATACACCTTAGGGCATGTTTGAGCTCTTTTTTGGTGCATGTATTTTAGAATATTAGATTAAAGAAGAATGTGCGATTAAAAAATAAAAAAAATTTAAAATTTATATGTAATATTATTTTATTGAAAAATATGTGGTTAAAAAAGAGAAAAATATATTTCGATATAAATAGGAATCAAACAAGGACTTAATATACTCGTCAAGCATGCTAATGATTGATGTAACATTTTAACGTTGACAACAAGAAAAGTATTTCCTCTCTCAATTTATATACATTATCATTCATACATACTTAGTACCTGTTTTACTTTTTATTTATTTATTATTTTTATTTATATACAATTTTTTCAATAAAATAATTTTGTAAGTGAATTCATAATTTTTTATTTAACAACATTTTTATGCAGACATTCCATAAAATCCACTATTTTTCATCAACACATACCTACTAGAGATGGCGAAAGTCTTGGTCTCCAACCCGCATTGTTCCCCACCTCAAATACTCGAACCCACTTCGAATTTTTATTTTATTTTATAAATTTAAATTTAAATTATATTTAAAATAATTAAAATAATATTATTAAATAAATAATCAAGCGAGACGATAAAGAGGAACTTTATACTCTCTTCCTCGTCTTTCTAAAAAGTAAAAAAAATTACCACTCCTTGTGAGTTGTCGGCGGGATCCACCTTGTACATGCAGAAGAATCCACCTCCCACACCTACACACGCGTCAATGACTCGGTCAAGAACGGCTGTCTTCGCACCAATTTTGAGGAAACAATTTGATAAACCGGGTTTTGTTTTGGATTCTACACCAATGTCAAAGTCCAGAGTTAATGGGCCCACTTAATAAAATATCAGACTACTAAAACGTGGATTTCAAACAAGCTATCTGGGCCCACTTCACTTTTATTGCTGGCGGCCGAATTACTTATTTCTTGATTATTTTATATTTTAACTTATTTTTAGATTAAAAGCTAAAACTTCAATACACCTTAGGGCATGTTTGAGCTCATTTTTGGTGTATGTATTTTAGGATAATAGATTAAAGGAGAATGTGTGGTTAAAAAATAAAGAAAAAATTGAAATTTGTGTGTAAAATTATTTTATTGAAAAATGTGTGATTGAAAAAAAAATGTATTTCGATGAAAATGGGGATCAAATAAGGACTTAATATACTCGTCAAGTATGCAAATGATTGATGTAACATGTTAACGTTGACAACTAGAAAAGTATTTCCTCTCTCAATTTATATACATTATTATTCATACATACTTAGTCCCTGTTTTACTTTTTATTTATTTATTTATTTTTATTTATATACAATTTTTTCAATAAAATGATTTTGTAAGTGAATTCATAATTTTTTTATTACTTTCGACAACACATTTTTCAAAAAAAATTATTTTTTACAAAATTTATTTTGAAAAATTTCGACCATATAGGGACTTAAATGATTATGGTATGACTGGAGGAAAGTATTAAAGGTGGTGATGCTCTTACCAAATTAGTATAGAATTATAGATTGTTTAAACAAATAATTGGATTGGGACAATGAAGCAACCATGGTTATACAAAATCTAAGAATCTTAATTAAATATTGTAATGTGATTAACTTTAATCTTCCTAGAGTTAAGACAAGATACAAAGGTTGTTAATATGTATTATTATTTGACTATGACATGAAAGAAAATGAAAATTATGTGGGTTTATCTTGTAATTTAAAATTTATTGCAATCAATGATTCCATCAAATTATTAACTTGTCACATTTTGAAGAGTTTTAGCTCGTAATATCTAAAATGATCTAATTAATCATTACATAGCATATTATGTACACATATGTAGACCTAAACGTGTGTTATCTCGATCACAACATGCGTGTAAAATAAATAGAATAGTTAGGTTTGAAGGAGATTGACATGTAAATAACCTAACAAAAACTTGAATCATTCATTTTCCGAGTTGATTTGCTTTATCATGCATTTCGTGTCTGTATTAACTCTTTCACTTCGTAGTACACGCAATTTACCTATTTGGATCTTTATTAATTTTCTTATTTTTAACCTTTTAGGTCTAATGGCTCGCTTGGTTTGAAAATGCGTCATCAACACTATTTATAACGTAACTTGAAAAGAGAGAGAGAGATTGTATTGGACTAAAAGTGGAACTATAATTCAATAGGAAATAGTGTGTACGTGTACATTATTTATGTGTGATGATTATTATCGGTACATATGTTATTAGGTCGAGTTGTGTAGGTTTGAAACAAATTTACATATGGGGTCGAACTTGACTTTTTAGGATCGTAGTTCACGTAACCAACCCTAGTTAGTTTTGAGATGGAGAGGATTCTTGTCTTCAACCCAATGGCCTGATTTTGATAATTATATTATAATTAATCTCTTAATGACCTAATTAACAGCTACCAATTACTGGCTTTATACTTTTTACATATGTTCAAGTTCAATTGTCTTCTGTGTCACCATCTCTCCCCCCTAAATTCCTCACTGACTTTTAAACATTCTGATTTTCCACAGAAAGACGCACTCACACGCTTTCATCCCTCTATCTGATACAGAGAAAGAAGTAGAGAGATTGTGCTTGGGAAGTTTAGTAAGTTCGTAATTCTGATTCCTTTCTTGTGCTTACAAAAGTATTCTTTTACTCCATTCCATTTTTTTGCTTTTATTGAAAAAAATCAATAAAGCAAGGCCATGCAATTTCTTTTTGCATAAAGTTTTCGGTTTTGATTCCAACTGGGTTCGTCAGAAATGAAGAAGGAAGATCAAGCAAGGTCTCTGTTTGGGATTTCTTTGACTGATAGACCCATTTGGCAACAGTTTCTCATATGCTCTTCCGGGTTCTTCTTTGGTTATCTTGTCAATGGCATTTGTGAGGTTCGTTTGAGTTTTTATTGCATATCTATTTATATAATTGCAGTTGTCTTTGTTTGATTCCTTGTGTCATTGGATCCTCTGTTTTTTAGTTTTATTGTGTGAATTGAATTCTTCGATTTTCCTACATCGTTGCCTGTTAGTTGTTTGTTAATTTGCTTCATTCAGTCTCGTGATGAAGGAAAGTCACTTCATCCGGGGGTTCATTCCATTTTGGGGTAGTGTAGAATTGTTTCAAAAAGGTTTCTTAGATGTTGGAATTTTCTGTACTTCTTTGGGGGCAAAATTCGAAACTTTTTGGTTTGCATAGTAGTACTTTGTTGATCATTTCACCGGATTAATTATAATTTCAGTCACTGTTCTATTGATTCAGAAGTTCCAATGAAGCTCAGATCTGTAGAATTAGTTAATTGTGAATATTGAAGTTGCAAAGTTGACTAACCGTGAATTTTTTTTGTATCTGCATGCAGGAATATGTATATAATAGGCTCCAATTCAGGTCTGTCCACATTTTTCGATAGCTTAATTATGATTGCGCTAATTATTCTGATGGCTCGTTGAATTAAATTTTTTATACTTTTGGGCAGTTATGGCTGGTATTTTACCTTTGTTCAAGGCTTTGTGTATTTGGTACTGATATACTTACAGGGGTTCACCATTAAGCAAAAGGTGAATCCATGGAAAACATATCTCAAGCTCTCTGCTGTCCTAATGGGTTCTCATGGATTAACGAAGGGTTCCTTGGCTTATCTTAATTACCCGGCACAGATCATGTTCAAGTCGACAAAGGTATACCGTACTCAAACTATGTCTTTGGAATAGGTCGATGACATTATTTAATTTATTTTCACAGAATATTATTAGACCATTTCAATATTCCAAGGGCATAATTAGTTTATGTGCCACTTTGAGAGGTTTGACCTTTTCTAGTTGATCCTTTCTTGCAAGTTGAAACAATGCATTTTGATTATGATATTATAATTTGTGAGACTTGCAATTTGTTAAATTGATGAGCTCATTTGGTTGTTGGAGTACAGGTTCTGCCTGTAATGATAATGGGCGCGTTTATCCCTGGCTTGAGAAGAAAATACCCTATTCACGAATACATATCCGCTGTGCTTCTAGTTGTTGGGCTGATTCTTTTCACCTTAGCCGATGCTAACACTTCTCCGAACTTTAGTGGCATTGGCGTCTTGATGATTTTAGGCGCTCTAGTCATGGATTCTTTTCTCGGTAACTTGCAGGAAGCAATTTTCACCATGAATCCCGATACCACTCAGGTGTTAATAATTATATTCTACAGCTTATATTTTAGATGAAAACGCATGTCATTTTTCCGCTAATCTATATAGCTCTTATTCTCTCAGATGGAGATGCTATTTTGCTCGACGTTGATTGGGTTGCCTTTCCTGTTACCGCCAATGATTTTGACCGGAGAGTTGGTTACAGCTTGGAATTCTTGTGCTGAGGTAAGGAGATTGACTCAATTAAAATATTCTCAACTCAAAATACTTAATCAGTAGGATTATTTTTAATTAGAGCTATTAAGTAAGAAATAAACAGCTACATTTGCCGGGACCACCAGTGACATCAAGTTTCTGTGCTTCTCAATGTATATTTGTTCTTTTAAATTTATCATTTCGTTGCTTTTGCATTTGCATTTGCAGCATCCTTATGTCTACGGAGTGCTTGTCTTTGAAGCAATGGCTACATTTATTGGTCAGGTCTCTGTTTTATCACTCATTGCCATTTTTGGGGCTGCCACCACTGCTATGGTAATTACGCCTCGACTAGCCTTGGTTTTTTAGCATGTGATCGTACTCGATTCTTCTCCAGAAAAATTCGTTCGCAGACTTTTATTTCATGTTGTTTACTTTGCTATTGCAGATTACAACAGCACGAAAGGCTGTGACTTTATTGTTGTCGTACTTAATTTTTACGAAGCCTCTTACTGAACAACATGGTTCGGGGTTGTTACTCATTGCAATGGGAATTATACTGAAGATCGTCCCTGATACTAAACCTCCTAACCTGGCTGTCGTATCCAGTACTCGGGGAAAAAATCATCCAAAAAAGGCGAAGACACCAGAAAATGGAGCCGACGAAGAAGACGAAGAGAAAAGGCCATTAGTCTGAATTCATAAAGAAATTAGTTAGCCAAATGTTGATTTGTGATTTTACTTTCTTTTTGGCAAATTCACGTGTATTGCTTATTGTTTATGAGAATTTTGTATAATCTTTTTCAAATACAAAAACATATATAGAGTTTCCTTTTTATATTATATGGATGGTTTAGTTTGCAAAGATCGTGAAATGTTAAATAAAATCAACTTGAATTCATTCGAAATCACTGATTTTCTATCCCATATCTGCTTTTCTTACAAAAATATAATTTGAAATAGAGATTTTTTCGTATGACACAGTTGAGTCGATTATTCAATTGAATAATATGAAGCATGTTTTCCATCCCAATTCAAGAAATCAACCAGTAGAGGCAGTCCAATCTCAATGCCTGGCTATACATTAGAAATCTCATTGACTACATAATATTCAGTTTGTCTGTGTTAAAATTCACAAATGTATAGACCATTAAAATAAGTTCAGAATCGATTAGGTTCAATGAAAGATACATTTTAATTTAATTGACAAGCCATTGCACATTAATTTTAACGTCACCATTGTTAAGAATTAAACAGACGTGCATAATGAAAATATAAAAATTAATTTCCAATGTTGGCAATGACAGAGCCAGAATATTTTATTTTGGTGGAAAAAAATTATATAGCAAAAATAATTATAAATAATATAATTATTGAAAGTTACGAGTTCGACCCTAAAACCACATAGAAGTGGTGAATAAGTAAATAACGCGAAATTAAAAATTATCGTCGATTAATATTGAAACAACTCATAATAATTAATTATTCTAGATTCAGTTCACATGAATTAACTATTCTATATTGAATTACCGACTTGTCTGAAATCAATAATGTAAACAACACAAAGAATTGATGACGGAGAAAACTCTTAATTGGGTAAAAACTCCGGGACCAATCCAGTAATTTTCACTATATAAACTCAAACTGAATGCATGTCTCTTGCGTTCCTTGTTAAACATGTTTCTTAAAACCAACAACTCAAATACCAAGTGTAAAAGTACGTAATACATGAAATATAACAATTGACATAGACTATTATAAATATCCTAACTAGATTGAGAAGTAATACTAATATTAATCAAAACATCGGCTAAAACATTAATATCACAAAATATCAAAACTCAAAAAAGCTAGCATTCAAAATTTTAAATGATCATCTCCCCCTTACTACAAACTCTCCCTAAAATGCAGTTAAAAAAAACACCCATATCCTCTCCTCTACCCATCTCTTTTTTTCTTTTTTTTTTTTTCCATTTTTTTGTCACAAATGACTAATGGAACTATATCAACAACATATAATAACTCAAAGATACAGTTGATAGTATATACAAGAATAATCAATGATCAGTAAACTTCTCGCATACTCAGTTCAAATCTAAATGGAGTAAATTGTATAAGTGACTCATTTATGTTAAGTCCCACCAATTCCCTGTAATCAAGACTCCAAACCTTAAATTTGTGGGAAATGACATGATAAACATAACTATTAAATAAGTTTATTTCCCTAAAGCACTTGTTGAAGAGATTCCCTCAAAGTAGCCTCCAGCATTGCAATAGACTTGGCAACCAAGCAGCTCACTTTTTGGAGTGACATGCATGATCTCTTGAAGACATGATCTTATGGTAGCACAGTACCCCTTTGTTTATTGAAAATGTAACTTTCATTGACAGACACTATCATACTATTTCCTAAGGTTTTTTTTGTCTTTATGAATAAAATATTTTTCATCAAAAAAAAAAGAAGATAAAACTCATTTTTCATGTATATTATTCTTTTTCTCCCTCAAACTTTGAGTATATATACATTTTCGCACAATTTTTATTTTTCTTTTTCAGCTCATCATTTTTCTTTTCAATTTTTTTTACATCTTATGTGTAGGTTTTCCTCTATTAAGCGACTAAGATGACCCATGTAATGAGTTTTTGGTCGATGACTCCAAATCATTGATCATAAGGTATTATGAGAAACCACTTGAATTTAATTGCTCGAGTCAAATAAGTTTTGAAGAAGAGTATAAGATGAAACTTTTTTTATTTAATGGGATATACTAGAACTTATGTCTACTAAATTAAATTTAATTTATATTCAAGGTTGCCTTAACAACAGATGACAGCTATCTCAAATCTTACACAAGCGATCAAGATTCATTTACAAGATCATAGTGTGTGCACAGTGCAGATGGTACATGAAAAATCTTATACTAAGTACTCCACATAAACCTAAATAAAGTATTGAAAAATATGTTACAGTACATCAATTAAACTCATACTTAGTCACAACAAACATTCAAGTAAATCATATATCTGTAGTGGGAAAAAAAATTTCTCTCCTTTGTTTTTTATTATTATTATTTGTATTATTTTTCAATTTCTCAATTTCAATTTTATTTTTAAAAAAAATCAACTACCTAAAAATCAAAATAAAAATGAAATGCATGCAACAATGAATGAATCACAATAAGCATAAGCGTGTAACAAAAAAAACATAATCAGTTAAGTATACAAATGCAATTTCCTTTAAAATCATGATGATCAATTTCAAAAAATTTCAGATGACTCTTTTTCACCAAATCCTTGCTAAAACAAAATTATTCACATTCCATTGTTTTAATAACACGGTTAGTTGATTCACCTTATCAATAACAAAGTCAACACTCTACTAAATATATCCTGATTTCTACTTCTTTTCACAAGTCTATTACACTTAAGTCTTGTGTGTCCCAACTTACCATAATTAAAATATGTAGGAATAAATCTATGATCAAATCTACGTGGTACCTGAAATTGATCCTCTATTTGGAAACATCCTATGTAGTCTAATGTGATTACATACTCTTTGAGTCTTGTTAGTAGAAGGGACAAATATGGTTTTGGAAGCGTTAGCATCATGAGGATTATAATTATCGTAGTTTAGACCACTTCTGTTACCAGAAGGTTTGTTCATCCTTATAAGATTATCAAATTTCTCAGAACCACTAAAGAAAACAAGAAGTTGAGACTAGGATTATTCAAGTTCACTAAGATGGTTCTTAACTTGAATTTCTAATTTATCATTTTCAATGGTCAGCTCACTAACTCTCCTAGAGTACTTCTAAAGTTCACATGTAAGATTCTTTATCTTAGAATCTAGGGACTAATTCACGGTATCTAATTTATTGAGACACAAGGTATACTTCTAAAGGTTGGTTGCAAGTTTCTCTCTAACTACCTCAAGTTCATTGACCTTCTTAAGCATGACTTTATTCACTTTCTTAATCGTAATACTCTCCTCAAATAATTATTGACAAGCCTCACAAATATTTTCCTCATCTTCAAAATCTTCCCCAGAGTGCTCACTACTATCTACTTCCTCAATCTTCTTGTTATCTTTATCATATTCACTTTTAATCCTAGCAATGAAGGTTATTTCACTTTCGTCATGAGTAGATTTCTCACTTTGATTATCCGAACTAGACTTGTCATCAGTGAGAGTTGCATTCGTAGCTCTACCCCAATTTCTCTTACCATTATGGCACTCATTTCTATAGTGGTCAAAACCTTGACACTTATGATATCTTATAGATTTAAATATATTTCTAGACTCACTAAAATCACATCTATGTCGCTCTTTAGTCTTCTTCTTAGTTCTAAACATTTTTTGAAAATTCTTAACAAAGTAAGCTATTTCTCCATCATTAAGTGATTCCGAATAAGAAGAATCATGATAATCATTCCTAACAATATTCAAGGCCAAAGACTTATCTTTCTTAGGTTTATCTAATGTTAATTCATAAATTTGGAGAGATCCAACCAATTCTTCAACCTTAACAGAATCTATATCCTTACTCTTGTCTATAACCGTGATTTTAGGCCTAAATATCTCAAATAAAGATCTAAGGATTTTTTTTGACAATCTTAGGCTCAATAATTTTCTCACCTAAGTTGAAACTAAAATTAACTATCATTCAGGCTTGTGTAGAATTCATCAAAGGTTTCATTATCCTTCATCCTAATCTTTTCAAATCTAATTGTCAACATCTGTAACATATAATTCTTAACAGCCGAGTTCCCTCATGTGTGGTTTATAAAATATCCCAAACTTCTTTAACTACTCATCTAGAAAACCAGGTCAAGAATCGAATTTGATCTCTAATACCACTTGAAAGTTACAAGTTCGAACCTAAAATCACCTAGAGGGGATGAATAGGTGATTAGCTCGGAATTAAAAATTATAGCCGATTAGCATTGCAACAAGTCACAATAATCAATTACTCTAAATTCAGTTCACTTGGATTAGCTACCATTTGTTGAATTGTCGACTTGTACGAAATTAATAATGTAAACAATACAAAGAATTGATAACAATGAAAACCTTTAACTGGATAAAATCTCTGAGACCAAGCCAATAGTTTCCACTATAGACAATAAGAACTTACAGTATGATCCAATATATATTACCTACTAGACTCTCTAATATAATTTCCGCAATCTCCAAGATTCGCTGGAACGTGATTCACTCACACCTGCTACCGATCTTCTAGAATTGTCTATTCGATGTGGATCATCAATAACACTTCGTTTTTGTACTCTTCATGTGCTTGTGGTCAAACCTCTTCAATCTTCAATAACCTCTAAAAGTTATTGAGAAAGTAACTTCCAAATTATATCTAGGAAGCGAGTGTTTTGAATTATATGAATTTGACGTTTTCCCAACTTGTGGTTAATTGATTTCAAGAATCAAAAGTTTAATCTCAATATTTGGATGTGTTCTTGGATTTTAGAATGATGTTATGATAATGGAATATAATGATCAACCACCACAAAAAACGTAATGAGTATTGGGTATTCATAATATGTAGCACTTGTGTAGTATAGAATGCGTGGAATTCTTGAAAATTGCGAACTAGGATATTATCGGAAATACTGCTACTCCAGCGCCGACTAGAGACAGGTGCGTTACTCGAGCGATAGTCGGATGTCAGGTGGGCAACAATAATT